AGCATGATCTTTTCCAGCTCCATCCAAGTTGCTGCAAAAGACATGTGTTTCTCTTTTTTGGTTGCTGAGTAATATAGAAATAAATCTTTAAAAAATAAATCAAAATTAGTGCAAAGAATTAGAAGAAATTAGTAACAATGATTACTATGGGAAGTTGGGTCAGGAAGAATTACGCTTTTAGTCTTACATTCTCTGGTACTGCTTGAATTATCTCTCATCACCACCACCATATAATGCTACTGTAATTATTACGTTTTGAAACTGGTTATGTTCCATGGACCAAAAATCCAGAATAGATACTCATTAATGAAGAAGCAAAGAAATGATACAAATACTAAGGAATGCCATCCAAAAAGGATAGAAAGAAAGAAATGGAAAAAGAAACAATACAAAAATAAAACAATCAAAACCAAAATAATTGATAATGAACAATTTATATCAGTAATCACCCTAAATCTGAAAGGTCTGAATTTACCAGTAAGAAGACATAGGCTGCCAATGGGGGTGAAAAATTCCAGTCATTAATACTTTGTTTATATGAGGCCCATTTAAACTTGAAAGACAAGAAACAAACTTAAAATAATAGACTGGAATAGGTTACACACACTAATAACTCAAAGAATAAATAAAAAATATATCCAGTAAACTAGACTTTCAACTAAAAATGGTAATCAGGGACAAAGATGGGCACTCTGGTCAAGGGAAAAATTCACTAAAAACATAACTGTGTTATAACTTATGTTCCAAATATAGGAGCAACTAGTTATATGAAGCAGCTATTAACATCAAAAATAACGCTTCAATAAAAATACAGTCACTGTTGGAGACTTCAGCACACCAGTGGCACAAAGGGATAGATCATCTGGACAGAACATTAACAAAGAAATGAAGATCTTAAGTGACATGTTAGGACAGATGGATTTGGTAGACATTTACAGAGCTTTCCATCCTAAACATAATGAATACACTTTCTTCAGTGCATATGGAACATTCTCAAGAATAGAACATACACTAGGACATAAAACAAGTCTCAGGCAATATATATAAAATAGAAATTATTTCAAATTTCTTGACCACAGTGCTGTAAAGCTATAAGTTAGCCATAAAGTGAATCTTAAAGCATGTGGAGACTAAAAGAAATGTTTCTGAACAATTCTTGGGTCAATGAAGAAATCAAAGAAGAGATTAAAAATATCTAGAGACAAATGAAAATGGAGAAAGAAGCTACCAGGCCACATATTGACAGCTTTGAAAGCGATACTACATGGGAAGTTTATTTAAAAAACTCAAAAAAAATATATTTTACAATAAAACTCTGCATTTGAAGAAACTAGAAAAACAACAAGTACACAAAAAACCAATAGAAGAAGTAATAATGGAAATGACCGAATTAAAAAATGGGCAAAAGACTACAGAAGACTTTCAGATGGCCTACACATGTGGAAAAATGTTCAACTTATTATAAGGGAAATGGAAATTAAAACCACAATGAGGTACCACCTCACCTCTGTGAGAATGACCCATATAAAAAGGAGGAAAATCAACAAATGTTGAGGTTGCTGTGGAAAAAGGAACACTTATTCACTGTTGATGGGAATGCAAGTTAGTACAGTCATGGAGATTTCTCAAGAAAATAAAAATGTAAATTCTGTAGGATACAGCAGTAACTCTATTAGGCATCTGTCTAAATAATATAAAAACTCTAATACATAAAAAATGTATCTACACTTATGTACATAGCAGCACTGTTTACAATTGCCAAATCGTGGAACCAATGCAAGTGCCCTTCAACAGGTAAATGTATAGAGATGTCACAGAACATATATACTTGATAGAGTACTACACAGCTGTTAAAAAGACAAAGCAGTGACATTTGGGACAAAATGGTTGGAACATGAGATGATTATACTGAGTGAAATTATTCAAAAAGTAAAAGGTGGATATTGGATGAGTTTCACTCACCTGTGGAATATAAATGACAATAAAATATTCATACACAAAGAATAGAAGTTTGTGAACTCTGCAAAAAGAAGGTAGGGGTTATAATAAGGAATACAGGGAAGGTTGGAGGAGAGGGGAGAAAGGCAGATGGGGTATAGGCACAGGTGGTTGGGGAGGGGGAGGCGAATCTCTCAAGGAAGCAAAATATTTTCAAAACCTAATTCTGGCTCAACTAAACCCTACATATATTATTAACTAGTTTATAACTTTACAGTCTAAACCATATAAACCATATCTTTAAAAAAATTATATAGGTAACTAAAAAGTTTTAAAGCATGCCAGGGGCTTCTGCATGTTGCTCATTTAGAATGCCTGCCCAGAGACTTGGAAGTATCTACTATGTGTCCGGAAACTTGTGTTGGTATGACCCTATTACTAAGATATATTTTTCCTTCAGTATAAACATAATTGTTTCATGGGTTATACTTAAAATCTGTTGTGAAAAATTAAGCAATTGAGTAAGGTAATTTAACTTTTGGGAATTACATATTTGACCATATATATTCTTCTGTCAAATATTTAATTTAAAAATAATTACTTGGGGGAGTATTTTCAAGTGTAAATGCTTAGACAGGTTCGTTTCCAGTTCCACTACATACGATGTCCCTGTGGGCAAGTAGGTCCATTTCCTCGGTTTTTATTTTATTAAAATGCATAGAAGAACTGGGGTGTAGCCCAGAATTATTGAAGGTGAGACGATCCACCAGGGACAGAGTGAGGCGCAAAACAAGTGGATCTACAGAAATACACCGCTGATGGGAGCAGTGGGGAGACAGGAAAAGTCTGCTGTATGTAGGTCAGCAACCTGGCCAGGGATAGAACTCGGGCCTGAGCACTACTAATAGCTTCGTAGTGCTGAGACTTAACACTTAGGCCACGGGGGAGGGCCCCATTTCCTCAATTTTTAAATAAAAATAGTAACAGTAACTACTCCATAAGATTTCTGTGAGGATTAAATGAAGTAATTGGTTAGAACTTTGATAGTACCTTCTTGTAGGTAGGTAGGATTATAATTGTGCCCATTTTATAGATGAGAAAATCAAGGCATGAAGAGTTAATTAATTTGTCCCAGGTGCCATGGCTGGTAAATGGGGGAGCTGAGGTTCAGATCCAGGCAGTCGGGTTCCAGATCCCGTTCTCCTAAATGCTATGCTGTTTGACCACTTTGCTCACCAACTATGTGGTACACTGTAAGTTTCAACATTTTTTCAACAATTAGGTAATGTAATAGTGAATATTAGTATATAGAGATTATGTATTTGTCAGAAAATACATCTAAAGTCAGTGAAACAATACACATATTCAGTATAACTCCTCAGAAATTAGTGCTAATATTAGTATACCTTTCATAATTTGAGGAAATAAAATGGTACCATTTAGTAACTTATTTTAGTCATATGTTAAATGAATTTCATTTTGCTTTGATTTGAGACCTTTTCTAATTCACAAAATGGGTTAATTCATTATTGTCATCTTTCTGTAGAAAGTCCTTTTGGAAGTAGGCTAACAGAGTCCTTTTGAGTTATTTGTAGGGTTGAAAGCATTTTGTAGATGTAAAATGATGCTATGGAGACTGAATTAATAAATTATTCTCATTTCTGCTTATATGTAAACTTAGGAGTCTGACAAAAGAATTCTTTATTGTTGTAGGCAGCCTTGGGAACTCTAGCTCTGAGAGGATTTTTCAGGAGAAAAGGTTAATCGCTGGATACAGAATGATTTTTTTTTCTTCTAGCAGGCTTTATAGCCAGTGGTGGGGTCTACTTTTGAAATAGTCAAAATTTATGGTGTTCAAATACAGAGCAGAATATAAGGATATAATTGTGAAGGGAAAGATACATAAAACACAGCTCTTGTTAACTTGATTGACATAACTGAGTTAGCATGTGTTGTACTAGATCTTTGCCGCTGTCATGGTGATACAGTATGCTTGGGTAGGCTCTAAAGGAACCCACCAACTGTCGTTTTGCCTTCAAACCCTGATTTTCTGGTATTGTCAATAAAAAGAAAATCTTTACATTCCCAAGTAGAAAGCCTTATAACCTCAGTGGGGTCTATTAGTTTATACCTTCCCCTTAGGGGTATCGCTAATAATACCTGCCACCCAGCTACTGAACTCTATCCCAAATCTGGACCAATTACCCTTCACTTTATTGTCCAAATTGTCAATCCAAGGCTCTAATACTTAAACATGTCTTTTCTAAAAGCATGGTGACTACAAGAAGAAAATAAACACAAGTACCCACTAGATAGTCTCACTTGCTGTACAGATTTGCTCTCAGAACCCCATCGTTCTCACTGAATCTTGAAAGAGAAGTTTACAATTCTGTTGGATTGTCTGCTTGTACAACTTCTGGTCTTTTCTACCAAAATGTACCTCCAAGCATGGCTTGACTTTTTGAAGCCCCAGGCTAAGGAAGAAGAAATGTTCCCGTTCTCTTTTAAGTGAATACAGCTGTTGTTTCCCATTCATTCTGTTTTTCCTGAATAAATTTGGAGATGTCAACTTCTACCTACTAGAGGATTTTGCTTTTTCTGTAGCCCCAACATAACAACCACATCAAAATACAATTCTTTAAACTGCATGGTTTCACATAAAATAGAATAAGGACATAATTCTTAGTAATACTGAAAATCATGAACAAAGAGATATTGGCATTTTGCGAATTTCTCTTAAAACTCCAGTTTGGCCCTCCTTGGTGGCGCAACGGGTTAAAGCACAGTCCTAAGAAGCTATCGGCAGCCACAGCAGCACTAGTTCGACCCTCAACCAGAGAGGTGGCCCCATGGCACGGTAGACCTCTCCTGTCTCGCCCACTGCTCCCCTCAGCAGTATATATTTCACTTGATCTGCCTGGTCTTTGGTGAATCCTCTCACCCCCTGCACCTCTGGACTGTACCCCAGTTGTTGTGTGCGTAAATAAATCTTTTTAAAAAACCTCCAGTTTCATATATATCTTCAATGCCTTCACGGGGGACCTTAGTCAATTCTACGTGTTTAGACTCAGAAGATTATCATGAATCATACTTGGCTTCCCCCTATTTAAGATACAAGCCCAAGAAGTCAGCACTAGGCATCCTTCAGTGAAGTGGTCCTCACAGAAGCACATATAGCAACCAAAGGTTTTCTGCTTCCCACCCCCCAACCCCAAGTCACCAGTCAGGAGCAAGGAAACCATATCCACACCCTGGCTTAAAAAGCTTGTGCATCACAAGCCCCAGTATATCTTGTAAAAAGTTTTATTGGCATAGCTACCAGGATTCCCACGGATACACACACACACACACACCCCTTATGAGGTATTAACTAGACAGAAACGTCTAGTTAATTGGGTAAAATTTTACTATAAGTGATGTTGCCTAATAACACAGCTGACCTTCAGCTAACCCAGTTTCTAGGGCAAGAAGAACTAGAATGTTAATCCAAGATCGTATTTGTCCTTAGAGAAGTAGAGTGATACTAACTTTTTATCCACAAATTGTCAAAAATATCTAAACAAAGAGGATTCTGTTTTCAAATGTGCCTGAAATAAATGATTGTGAAATAATTTTGTCAACTCTTGGCTTATATCCTTTTTCACATATGATAAGTTTTAACTTTTCACCCTTCAACTGTTTTTCCTTTTTTGATAGGTCGAATAAAATATTCCGAGCAGGTGTATGATGCATGCATGGATACGTTTGACTGTCTTCCTCTCGCTGCCCTGTTAAATCAGCAGTTTCTGTGTGTACATGGAGGGATGTCCCCTGAAATTACTTGTTTAGATGACATTAGGAAAGTAAGTTTTCATTATTCTCTTGGAGTATTTGTTTCTTATTACAATCAATTAACTCTGTTGCTGAATAATGTTAAATACAGATAAACCATGAAAATCATGTGTGATCTTCTCATGGGGAGGGTACAGCTATTAACATTTTGTTAGAAGTTTTCTGTAACTTTTAATGAAAACTGTGCTTTTACCAACGAGAAATGTAACATTGAATTTAGCCTAAAACTTTAAATTATGTAGCAATGTGTAGAAGGAAGGAAACCAGAACTCTAATTCCTATCTTGTCATTAGTTATCTGTTGAGTCACATTTTCTTCTCTGAACTGAGGAAGTTGGAATGGATAGTCTGCAAACTTCCTACTGGAAATTCATTACTCTGGCATTTTAGATAATATAGTTTAATTGCTGCACTTGCAATTAACTTTGGTGATGGCTGTTTCTAGGATTCTATATGGTCATAATTGAGAAGAGGTGATCAGTCATTTTTCACTTACACTGTTAGACACTGCTGTCTTCTACCTTTGTATTTTCTCACTTCTCTCATATAGGTACTAAAAATCAGAGATTTTTCAGCTTATAAAGCTTTTCTGTAAATTAAAGTTACTTACCTCAGGGCAAGAGTGTATTCCTATATGCAGTGCTTTTTCTGCTGCTGTCTTTTATATAACCAGCATTTCTAGTTTACATAGTAAATCTTGAATTTTTTAATTTTGAGTCAACCATATTAATAAAAACCCCTCTTTTGTAATTGCACAATCAAGGATTCCCAGAGACCCCAAACTACTAAGGGACACATTCTAAAAAGGTTTGACCATCCATGAGAACACAAAAGCAAAGAAATCAGACCCTTCGTTTGGATGAGCTTTAACTGCAGAGAGAGAGAGAGAGAGATAACCAATTCCCAGTCAGACTGAAAAGTACCTTTCATGGACTACTGGTCAAAAAAAATAGACCAAGAAATAGGGTGGAAACCAGAAAGCTTGCCCCAAGTTTAAGGCACCTTTTGGTGGTAACCAACCACAAGAGCGGCTAGGTAGGTTCTAGAGAGCTGGGGAAAATGAAGCCCTGAATTCAAAATGGACCATGTGATCCATGACGTTAACATTCCAGCTGCCATTTTCTCTGTCAAGTATCCTCTTCCAAGTGTATCTCTCTACGTGCCTGCACCTTCTCCTTTATTTCATCTCCATCTGTACATCTCCAGTGCATCTTCTCAGCTTGTCTCTCTCCTGCACAGCATGTGGGAGCTGTAGTCCAAGGTGGCTGTGTGAAATGAGCGTGGGGAAAATGGCGCCGAGGCACCGCACTGTGATGCACCTCCTCTCACAGAGATGCATTCTGTAACGCTCTCACTTAGTAGAAGTCTCTTCTTGGCACTCAGCTATTCCATATTTTCACTTTCTTCTCTTTTTTATGTTTTGACTAGAAAGGAATATGACTTACTGAGATGTCTGGATGGCACAGAAGGGAAAGCATGAAAGCCCTTTACAAAACAACTAGCATTCTTTAAATATGAAATCTTGGAATATTTCATTATTTTATGGAATAAACTACGAACAGAATGCCTGTAAAACCCTTCCTGCTCTCATGGTTTATGGCTGACCTACGCAATCAAAATGAACTTTACAAAGTTGTGCTATACAGTAGTGTTTATTTATAGTGGTTGATTTCTCTTTCTAGTTGAATGAGTACCACTTTTAAGATTTGGATGTAAAGGGGTCCCTTTCTGCATTTGTTAGACAACTGGGATATTAATACAAGTTTATTTAAAAAAAAATAGTTAAGTGCCCTCCCTGGCAAGTGGCTTAAAGTGCAGCACTGTAAAGTTCTCTGAAGCCACTGCAGAACAAGTTCGGTTTCTGGTTAGGGAAGTGACCCACATGGTGTGGCAGACCTCTCCTGATCTGCCGGCTGCTCCCCTCAGCAGTGTACTTCAATAGATCTGTTTGTTCTGCTCCCCACTCTGCCTCTAGTGAATCCTCTTACCCCCGCACACCTCTGGCTGTACCCTAGTTCGTGTATACATGCATAAATAAATCTTTAAAAACATAATTAAAACTACCAAATTTGTTAGCTGTTTATTTCTTATAGGAAAATCATTTAGGGTCTTAGAGGCTTCTCCTAATACATTCTTGTATTGGGGGGAAGGGTTTAGTTTGTTTCTGATGCATATCAGTTTCTAAATGCTCTTTTGATTTTGTGATTTTTCTCCTTTGGACTTCTGCATGTCTTCTAGTTAGACAGGTTTAAGGAACCTCCAGCCTTTGGGCCAGTGTGTGACCTGCTTTGGTCTGATCCCTCAGAGGATTACGGCAATGAGAAGACCTTTGAGCACTATAGCCACAACACTGTCCGAGGGTGCTCTTATTTTTACAGGTAAGCTGATCTTCACAGTTAAAAAATTAAGAGAGAAACATATGGTGATGGCACATAGGTGATTTGGTGATGGGAAGCCCATGGGGATTACAACTGAGATGGAAAAAAGCATAAAATGATGTAAAAATAAACTTATATTATTAAAAAAAAAAGAAATCTATTTTAAAGTATTTTGAATTTGTGGAGTATAGAGACTTCTATTTTCCGTATTAATTAATAGAAGGCAGAAAACTGTTTATTGTTTATATTTTATTAGGTATTGTCGACTTAAATTGTGGCAAGCAAAATTAAATAACTTTGTTAAAGAAGCAAGAGTGAATCCTGGAAGTCTGACAGAGTTTACTCTGAAAAATGTTAGAAAAAAACCCCAAGTTTGGATTTACTTTATATAGGTAGGAACAGTGAGTCATTAAAATGTAAAGATATGTTGCCACTGTCTGTGGGCGGACTTAGGCAGATGCGGGAGTTTAATCACTCCCTTGATTTCCATAGAACACACAGTGGACATGCAAATGCTAGGTACCCTTAGTTAAAATCTTTATCTGTCCCCTTGGTCATTAGTGGGCTGGTTTACCTTCTGGAGGCAGGTTCCTACATAGGCAATGGGTGGAGCTGTTCCCTGACTTTAAGTCCATAAAGATAACTTTGCTTTCTTGCCTGATAGGGTGGTGGGGGTGGATGGGGGCTGGGAGAGGTTGCCCAGAAAGTTTTATAGTGTGTTCACAGTATTATGCCTTGATAAGTGTAATGCATCAAACATGAACAGAACATCTTGCAGTGCTTCAGTGTTGTATGACTTTTAAAAAATCTAGATTACGTATGCCAAAAAATCAATAGCCTTTTTTAAAAAAATCAGACTTCTTGGCTTCTTCCCCAGAGATCCTGAGTCAGTAGATCTGAGACAGGGGAATCCTGATTTTTTTTTTTTTTTTAAAGCTCTCCTGCTTTTAGAACTTACGACATAAGCAAAGATATAAAAAGAACAGGTTGTTGTGAACTAAGCCCAGGACATTTTCTGGAAGTTAGCTGTTGGCCTTAAATCTCACATGTGAGCTCTCATTGTGCTTTGCTACTCCACCATAGGAAGCTATAGGAATGTTTGAAATCTAAATTTTATTAATTGTAACATTTAATTTTTTTCTACCCCACACTTCTGTTTGTAAAAACAAACTAAGCATGAAAGGTCATAGTTAATATATTTCAAACCCTGAAAAACTCATATCCATTTCTCTGATAACTCTAAGTGCTTAATATTACAGTACTCTTTGATGTTATGTTCAGACGAGTGGGGAAAAATCCAGTTATGATGCATTTTGTTACCAATACAAAGAAAAACAATATAATTGAAATGCAGAAATGCTCATTTTAAAAAAGCCACACAGGATACGTTAGCAATACCTGATTCAAGTGAAATACAGAGGTGTTTTCTGTATGTTTAATACTCATTTCCTTATCTGCTGTCAGCAGATTTGGTTTAATCTGCTGTAAGAAATAATACATGTATTTAATTTTAATATCTGTTAACTGCCTATGACAGCACATTTGATAGATTAAATCCACAAAAAAAGTAAGAAGTCCCCTCAATTTTGCTCTAGTTTTAACTTTAAACAACTTTACTTTCTGCTAACCTTGGCAGTAACTAATGTGAAGAAACCTTTAAATTTTTGCTTCTCTGTATATTACTTAACATAAAAAGCATAATACATTATTGTTAACAGAATGTAAATTGGTATAATTTCTATGAAGGTTAACATGGCAACATCTCTCAACTATAAATGCCCCTACCCTTTTCTACTTCTGGAATATAACCCTGTCGTTTTACAATAGATTTTCATTTGAAAATTCACCTATTTGCTAAGATTTATTTTTAACCCTAATGTCAGGATTCTCAATACTTTGGAGGTCATTCTCAGCCTATGCTGAGGAGTGAGATTTTGAGTTCCTCTCTCTGTTCCCAGCTGAGGTTGATAGGGAGATATAACTCTCTGCCTTCTTGTTTCAGCTCTTCTCTAAGCAAGTTTTGTTTTGTTTTGGTTTGGTTTTTTTGTGATCTGTTAGTGCAGCATTTCCCATGTATTTAGTTGTTGCTTTTGATTTTTAAAATGGCTCCTCCTGGCCCTCCCTGGTAACAGAGCTGTTAAAGTGCAGCGCTATGAAGCTGTCACCAGCCACTACAGCATGAGTTTGAACTCTGACCAGGGAGCTGACCCACGTGACCCAGCAGACCTCTCCTGGCCCACCCGCTAGTCCCCTCAGTAATGTACTTCAGTCAGTCTGCCTCCTCACTCTGTCTCTGGTGAGACCTCTCAGCCCCACACCTCTTGCCTGCACCTCAGTTCTTGTATGTGTAAATAAATAAAAATAAATCTTGTTTTAAAAAATGGCTCCCCAACATGATCCTGAAGTGTTACTAGTATTGCTAAGCACAAGAAAATGTGATGTACCAGCTAGAGAAAACATGTCAGATAAGCTTCATTCAAAAGTCAATCATGACCTTGTTGGTCAATTTGAGGTTAGTGAGTCAACTGTATGTATTAAGTTGATTAGACACACATAAAACAAAGTTGTATGTTGACGAATTGATGGCTCGTGACTCACAGGACCCTAACCTTGTACCTGGAGCAGTGGTCCAGTAAATTTACGAATCCAGCTTTTTTTGCAGCAACTTTATAAAACATAGCTACTGCAAATAACAAGAATTGACTTTACTGTAAATGTGTAAAATATGTGTATAATATTATTCATTACTGTATTATTTATGATACAAGATTTAAAACAACTCTAAGTGGTAGATGTTTAACACTAGTTCAATAAACGATAATAGAATGTAGCAGGTAGTACACTTTATTAAATGAAGAAAAGTTAACTCCTGTATATGTAATTTGGAATAATTATTAATGAGTAGTGAATAAAAGTACACATTGTAACAACAAATAATACAGGTCTGTGTGTTACCTGATAACATTTTGAAAGGGAAAGGATGTGCATGTGTGTATAATCGCTAGAAATTGAGTAGAGTCTCTTTTAAACGGAACTTGGAGAAGCCAGGAACAGCAGTTTCTTCCAAAGTAGCTGGAAGATAGGGGTTTGGAGTCAGCATCTCACTTATATCTTTTTGTATCTTTCAGTTTTATACCATATCAATGTAGAACCTATTTTAAAAGTTAATTTTTTTCTAATGAGCATAGCAAGCAACTAAATAGTGAACATTTGGATTCTTCTAGGTTAATTTTGGATTCTTCGGTTTTTCATTTTAGATAGAAATATGATAGAACTGAAATATTTTAGGAGTAGATGCAAACATCTTGCTTTTCAGTAGAAAAAGGTTAGGTATAATTTGCATTTAATTTCAAAATATTTCTGTGTCATATCATCTTGGAGTTGATATCACCAACAAATGTAAGTAGGTTGTTTAACTTTTTTTTCCAGCAATTTAACAATTTGATTGTGCTATATTTTCAGCACTAATGTATACATACACACACACATTTTTTATATTAAGATACCAAGAGAGGCCCTCCCTGGTGGCGCAGGGGGTTAAAGCACAGTACTAAGAAACTTAAGCCGATTCTATGTGAGTTCGATCCCCACCTGCCCCAGAGGTGACCACATGGCGCGGCAGACCTCTCCTGACCCGCCCGCTGCTCCCCTCAGCAGTGTACTTCATTGACCTGCCTGTTCTGCTCCCCACTCTGTCTCTGATGAATCCTCTCACCCTCCGCATCTCTGGCCTGTACCCCAGTTCTGTATGAATAAATATTTAAAAAAAAAAAAGTTACCAAGAGAAGTTGTGGTCTTCTTATGGGTTAAGGCAAAAAAGTTAAAGGTGGAGGAGTTCTGTTTCTGTCTTAGGAGTGTCTGTTATTAGGGAGTGAGATAATCAGTGAATGGAAAAATACAGTAATGATTGCTAAGTTACTAATAAAAGCTCAACGGTAGTAAAACCTGTAATTTAAAAAGAAACTCAATTCACATCATCTTGGCTTTTCCCCTTTCTTCCTATTAGAAAACAATTATTTAAAAACTGTGTTTATGTTCTCTAATTTCCCTTTTCAGTTACCCTGCGGTTTGTGAATTTTTGCAGAATAATAATTTGTTATCAATCATCAGAGCCCATGAAGCCCAGGATGCAGGGTAAGTTGTATTATTAACACTATGCTAAATGTCATTGTAGAGTTTTTCCCTTTTATATTGAGTCAGACAGGCTGTCCTCTGTCTTCCAGGTATCGAATGTACAGGAAGAGTCAAACAACTGGCTTTCCATCACTTATCACAATTTTCTCTGCCCCCAATTACCTAGATGTCTATAACAATAAAGGTAACGGAATCTGTGATATTTGAGTTTGAACATGTGAATAAATGTAAGCTCTAGTTCATATCTATGTGTACATATACTTTTTAATACAAAAATTTTAAATGAGGAAAAAGGTTTTAATTGAAACAAGAACTAAGAAACTTAAACTCTAGGCTGCTGTTGTGTTTTCATTTCTTAAGGATTATTGAGGTTTTTGTGAGGATAAAAAATGATCACACTAGGTCTGATTTTCACTGCTGAATCAAAATATAAGACGACTAAATTACTTCAGATCCAAGCTAGAATAATTAATGGACGTATTTCTTTTGGTGAGTTTTATTTATTTATAGCAATATCTCAGTAGAATTCACTGTCTGGTGTTTTAATGTTTGTGCACTCTTAAGCTGTTTTGCTCTTTTTGAAGAACGGTACAGGTAAAATGAGTAAATACCGTACAAAAAAATTAGGGAAAAATATATTTAATCCAGGCCCTCTGAGAAATTAATAGTGTGACTTTAGGTAAGTCACATAATCTTTTAAACCTCAGCTTTTAATCCAGAAATGCTATTTCTAAGACTTTATCCTTTGAAAGCCTTTTTAAAAATTTAACTTTTATGATTTTAGTTCATGAGTTTTGTATCAGGCAGTGGTCAACTTACTAGATTCCTGCCTCTATCTCTGTTGTTTATGAAGTCAGGCTATAAAATAGGACTTTTAAGTAAACACACAAGAGCATATACATCAAGTGAGTACTGCCCTGCAGAGTAGCTACCTGGGGAGCGCTACACTTATCCCAGCAGTGCTGCCATTGTTCAAAAACAGTTTTGGAACTCCTCTTTTGGCATTGCCTTCAGAGTCTGCGACACAATATTTTGCTTATCCTCAATGATGGGAAATCTTCGTCCTTTGAGGGTGGATTTGATTTTTGGAACAGCCAAAAGTCATTCGGAGTCAAGACAGATGGATAAGGTGAGTGATCGAGCGAGGCAATACCATCCGGGGTCATAAACAAGGTATGATCATAATGTAATGAGACTGATTTTCTTGTGTTGCTTACACAATGGAGGCAATTCCAAAAGAGGAGTTCCAAAAATGTTTTGAGTAGTGACAGCATCTTTGGATTAATTAAATATATATAGTAAGGCAGCAAGGCGGATTGAAACTAGCACTAAGCTAGGGGTCAGAAACACAAGTTCTGCTTCACCTTTAACTTAATATCTAAAAAGATACTTCACGCCACACCTAAAACCAAGATCAGTGACTCCTATAAGTCTCAGTTACCTGGTATATAGGGTTTTGTCATGTGTTCTTGAAGATAAGTTGGAATAGTAAAAATGAGTGTTAAAAGAACTGGTTGAACTATATACTGCTATAATGCTGTTGTGCCTGATGTGATTATGTCAGTGGACTACATTCATCCGATTATAGAAGGTCTGTTGTATTTGCAGTTGGTGGTTTATTAAGTCTCATTACTTTATAGTCATACCTTGTATATGCACTTGGGGAGAGAAGTTTAAGAGATCACTGTTTCCTCTGCTGAAAAGTAAACTGTGGTATGTGTCACATCTCATTTAAATCTGATTTCAATCAGTCCTCATACTGTGCACTTCAGTGACTTACTGTCCACTTAAAAAATTTTTCTTTGGATCTACTGGTGGTACAAGGGTTTGGGTCTCAGCACTGTGGAGCTGTTGGTAGCCACTGTGGCACAGGTTCAATCCCCGGCCAGGGAGGCGGCCCACATGGCGCAGCAGACCTCTCCAGTCTCACCCGCTGCTCCCCTCAGAAGTGTGTTTCAGTCCATCCGCCTGTTCTGCTCCCCACTCTGTCTCTGGTGAATCCTGTACCCTCACACCTCTGGCCTGTATCCAGTTCTTGTGTGCATAAATACATTTTTTTTTAAAAGCATTTTTTTGACTTACATTCTCTTAAGCCTTTTTTTTTACTTGTCATTATACTTTTCTGAGTCTTAGCTGCCTTACTCTGCTCTGTTTTTGCTTAAACTTTTCTCTTACTTCTACTTTTCCTAATATTCCAATAAGTTAGACTTCATTTTGTTCCTATTTCTTCCCTTATGAATTTCTTCCTTGTGTGTATTGTTGACCTTATTCAAAGATATTCAGTGGCCCAGGTCCTCATATTTGTGATGAAGATGTCCTACTTGCTTCCTTTTTTAACCCTACTATTAAGAGATCCCATTGATTGCCTGTTGAATCAGTCAGTGTGCCTAAGTTGCAACATGTACCTAAATCAGCAGTTGCTTTCCTGACTTAACACCAACTGGTCTTTTCCCACTTTAAACTTTTGTTTTTCTTGATTATTTGTTTAGTAAACTTTAGAGTCACACTCCATTCTAAGTTTTCGGTCTAATTTGACATAACTTGTGATTTTATCTTGAAACAATGTTATTTTCCTGGGTTGTTGCTTAGAGCATTTTTTAGGGTCCTCCCTGGTAGTGCAAGGGGTTGAACACAGCAATGAGGCTGTCCACAGCCCTAGCAGCACGAGCTCAATCCCTGCCCAGGGAGCTGACCCTTATGGTACAACAGACCCTCTCCTGTCCCGCCCGCTACTCCCCTCAGCAGTGTATTGCAGTCCATCTGCCTGGTCTGCTCCCCACTCTGTCTCTGGTGAATCCTCTCAACCTCCTGCACCTCTGGCCTGTACCCCAGTTCTTGTATGCATAAATAAATAAATCTTTAAAAAAAAAAGAACTTTTTAGGCAAAAAGCAGAAATTGTGGCATCTGGAAAACATGGTGATATTTAGTTACTCCCCATTAAGGTCTTTTTTCCTAAGGAAAAAAAAACTCTATCCCCCTTTCCTTCTCCTCTTCTCCTGTGGCTTTTCTTTCTTACATATTCTTTAGATGCATTGGTACCAATAGGCCCAAGGAGAGTCATAATTATAACCACTGACCTTTTAAATGGGAAAGTATGACAAAATCTTCTCATGTGGAGCTTAAGATTTCTGTAGTCAGTTACTATGCAGATACTGTTTGAAGTCTCAAAGATTACATTCTTTTGTACTTTTATTAGATGAGCTCTGCAGGTGAAAGTTCCTTGGAGGAATTTTTTTTTGCTAAGATTTACTTATTTATGCATGTAGAACTGGGTTATAGGCCAGAGGTACAGGGGCTGTCAGTGGGTTCACCAGAGACAGTGGGGAGCAGACCAGGCAGAAGACAAAGGACACTGCTGAGGGGAGCAGTGGGCGAGACAGGAGAGGTCTGCCGCGCCATGTGGGTCAGCTCCCTGGCCAGGATTGGACTCATGCTGTAGTGGCTGCAGACAGCTTTATAGTGTGCTTTTACAACCATTGTGCCACCAGGGAATAATTCTTAAAGGAATGAACTAAATAAGATGCCTCAAGATTCTTCATTTGCTCTTAAATTATCAAGTCCTGAGTTACAACTGAGAAGTAGGCGCCTGAGTGCTGTGCAGTAGGTAAACAGTTGTACAAAGTAGACGGGTTGCCATATAACATGCCTTGGTGCTGTATTTTCCTGCTTTTTCTTTTTTAGCTGCTGTGTTAAAGTATGAAAACAATGTCATGAATATCAGGCAGTTTAACTGTTCTCCACACCCCTACTGGCTTCCAAATTTTATGGATGTTTTCACGTGGTCCTTGCCTTTTGTTGGAGAAAAAGGTAAGAGAACTGAAAATCAATCAGTTGTTTATAAACTTTAGTGACCAAATTCTTATCTTTATATTTGCAGGATCACCTGACGATTCAGAAATGTTCTTAAGATTTTCAGAAATGTTTTCTGTTTTCTTTGTTACCTACAAAGATTTTCAAATGGCACTTAATTGATTTTTCACGTTTACTTCTACTTCATTATGCTTTTCTTATCTAAATATCAATTTAAAGTAGCTATCCCTTTAGCCAAGATGTTAAAGTAACATAAGTCATTTTACTCCTTCAGTGATTTCTTCAGCAATACAGATATTTATATAGGAAATATTGACCTTACAAATATATAACTGTGTCTATACAAATCACCTGTGCTAATACAAAATAAACCTGTTGCGCATGGACTTAGTGGCTTAACTTCTTTGTAAAATGGGAAGAATTTTTTTCATATGCATGTCAGTATGGGAAAGGCTCATGTTAGCAGTCTAATGAAGTCAGTGGAATCTTCAAGTATGCTACACTTTGCCTGGAGCAAATAATTCCTCCAATTCTATGTAAACCTGAAGACCTACAGTTAGTGCTGCTCTTTGTAGAGACTCTTCATAGTGTAATAACACATGTTTTTTTTTTTTTTTTGGTCTTTATTTAACATTAGTGTCTGTTTAGTAATTCACATTATTTTAGAGAAAGTGCCTTATTAATTATATACATTTTGGGATATTTTGTCTTCTATAGTCACAGAGATGCTGGTTAACATTCTGAACATATGCTCTGATGATGAATTGATTTCCGATGATGAAATTGAAGGTAAATCTGACTTGTCCTCATTTAAAATACAAGTGAAAAAAATTGGGGTTGTTTTGAATCTTTTGTTTGTTTGTTTATTGAAAAAAATGTGCTCCTTGTAGAAAAATAAAAAACGTAAAATACACAAGACATAGACAGGGAAAAAGGTCACTTACCATCTCACATTTGTCAGCTGTTAGCGTCTTGATGTATCTGTGTTTAGCTGGTTTCTGTCTTTAGACATGTTTCCTCTTCTATTCTCCCTTTTTAACAAGATCGTATTTCTGCAGAGTAATTTTTAATAGTTTCATAGTTGTCTATGTCCAACATTTGTTTAAACTAATCCCTTGCTGTTGGATATTGGACACTTTCTCCAACTTTTTCCTTTTAAACTGTTTCAGAATAGTTTTGAAAACTGTTGTAGGTAAATTTTACAACCAGGTTTTACGTGCCTGGTATGTGCCGAATACTGTTTGGGTTCTTGTTCTCATTAGCTTGTATTATAGTGAGGGAAAATAGTATAAATAAAATATGATATATTATGTGAAAAACTGGAACGCAGTACTAGGAAATGATAACATTATTAGGAATAACATTTGCTTGATTCTTTTCAGAATATATATTTCTACAAATGGACTGTATCAATTAGCTCTTAGAAATTTAAATTAGATAACATGACTTCTAAAAAGTATACCTGGTTAGTTATATGTGTGGAACAGAGTTCATAGTGTTCTGTCTGGGATATTAAAGTTTTCATTTGTTTGTATAACTAATGACACTTTTATTTTGTTTATTTACCACATTTTTCTCTCTTTAGTGTTTTGTCACTTCATACCTTTTGCCCATTTTCCTACTGTGTTATATGTTTTTATTCTTATTGGCATATTTTTCCTGTGTGTTGAGGGAGATTTGATTTGAAAAGTAGATGCTAACATATCTGAGAATGAAAAGATTCTGAAAAGATGGTAGCATCTGAGCACAGACCTCTGAGTCTCTCCTTGTTTCCAAGCTCTGCTAAGGTGATTCACTCAACTGTAAGGATAAGCTGTATACATGGCAGAGAGAGTTTGGCAGGTTTAGAGAGTCCAAAACATACTTATGTGTCAGGTTTCACACTGACAGTACAGAGCAGATGAGCTTCGTTGGTGAGCCCTTTGTGTATGGGGTTGGAGAGCACGACAAGGAAACAGTTCTTGGGGAAATAGTGTAGCTCGGTGAAAAGTAAAGAATTGTAGTCATGGAAAGGTAAAGTATGTAAGAAACAAATTTAATGACATGTATTTTCAAATTAAGTGGAATGGAAATTACTGTGAACTTTATTATGTGTACTAAGAAAAGATATGCTTTTGTGCCAAAATTATGGGAATATTTTTAAGTACAGTTAATTAGAGCAAAAGTTCAAAACAATCTGAATGTCCTCAGTGGAGAGCTAGGTAAATCTATGACATGTTTATTTGATAGGTTTTCTAACTGTATTATTATTTTCTTTATGCAAGCCTTCTTTCCACCATTATCTTCTACTAATGAGTTTTTGGTCAGCTGTTTGTCACTTCCTCATGGAAGGCATTTTTTTACTTCACTCACTGGATCCAGTACCCTGTCTTTCTCTCATATAGTGTAATAGCATTTGATGGAGTTGCAATTTTACATTCATTTATTTTGTTACAAGATTGATATTTTTATCTCAGCTGGTTAAACTCCTTGAATGCTGGGACAAATTGGTTTTTGCTTGCCACTACAGCCCTAAAGTCGAGATCACTGTGGTAAATATTCATTAAGGATATTATGCAAAGTGCCAAATCTTCTCATTAAAGGTTTTCAGAAAATTAACAGTATACTCAAGAATCACCAAGGTGAGATCTGGAAAAAGGCATACATCCATAGATATAAGATCTAGGGACTATTTCATTCCTAACCACATTAATGAGTTTATGAGGGGTCTAAGAGGTTGTACATATCTCCTGAAGAAAAGCTTAAAAAAGTTGGGGTTCATAGTTTGCCAATGTTGAGTTGAGTGCTGCTAGGTTTTTGCTCATTGGTTTGGAACCCCTAAGGATTGCAGCTATATAAGATTAAGGAAGAACTGGAAAGAGACAGTCCTGGAAGGTACTATAATCTACTTTCCAATCATTTCAGTCTCTGAAATTTACATAAGGTAGTTCCAGGCACCTGGCAAAGGCAAACCTTTTTAGATTTAACAATATCATATAAGATACTACATTTTGCAGCCTTTCAAATATAATATGTGGCTCACACCAAAAATAACTGGGGATATAAGGAGACATAAGAAGTAGCAGAAAAAAAAAACAGACTTCCAGCTTCTCCAGACATCAACTTTATCAGACCAAACTTTAAATAAGTAAGCTTATAGAGAAATACGACAGAAAGAAAAGGAAAAATACTGGATGGTTTCACTCATAGCAGGAGTATAAAGGACCAGGTGAGAAAATAATAATAATGAACAACTATGTGCCAGAGACATTTTACAGGGGTGGAGTGGGGAATGGGATCAAAAACGGTGTGGGGAGGGAAATGCACTGGACTATGGTGATGGCACATGAGTGATTTGGTGATGGGAAGCCCACGGGGATTACAACTGAGATAGAAAAAGACACAAAATTATGTAAAAATAAACATTGTATTAATTAAAAAACAAAAAACTAAGCTTAGGCCCTCCCTCCCCTGGTGGCCCCGTGGGTTACAGCACAGCGCTGAGAGGCTAAACCACTTCAGCATGAGTTCAATCCCTGCCCTGGAGATGACCCACATGGCGTGGCAGACCTCTCCTGACCCCCCTGCTGATCTCCTCAGCAGTGCACTTCGTTGACCTGCCTGTCCTGTTCCCCAACCTGTCTCTAGTGAATCTTCTCACTGCCCCTGCACCTCCAGCCTGTACCCCAGTTCTGTATGCATAAATAAATAAATCTTTAAAAAAAAAACTAAGCTTAAAAACAAGACAATATTATGCTTACTATCTTCAAGATATTAAAGACTGAATTGAAAATTTTGGCAGGAAGCTATGAATTATAAAAGGGATATATAAAGTTGATAAAGCACCAAAGAAATAGTATCTAAAATTTAAAATCTTCCTGTGAAGAAAATACCAGGTACAGATAACTTTACAGCAAATTTACCAAACATTTAAGGAAGAGACTCCAGTCTCATAAAAATTCTTAAAAAAGAAATACTCTCACCGCCTTGCACCTCTGACCTGTATGCGAGTTATGTATGCATAAATAAATCTTAAAACAAAAAAAAGAACTCTTCGCCAGACATCAGCAAGGTGAAATTAGTATATTATATATGCTGTACTAAGTATATAAATATATACTATCCTATATATGTAAAAGAATTATACCTCTCAACCAAGTTGATTATTCTAGAAATGTGAGATTTAAACATTAGTTTTAACCACACAGGAAGTTAAATATCAAATATTTCCACTCATGTGGAAGATGAAGCAAAGCAAATGAACAAACAAAGAACATCCTCAGATTGTGACAAGGAAATGGTGGTTGCGGGAGTGCGAAGGCTGTGGTGAAGGGGTCAGCGATGTGGTGGTGGATGGAATCCAGCCTTCTGGGGAGGAGAGCATAATGGATGAGGGTATAAGGAATGCCTTACGATCTTCACAACTTTTCTGTACATTTAAGACTTTTTTTTTAGGATTTATTTATGCTTACAGAACTGGAGTACAGCCAGAGATGCAGGGGTAGTGAGAGGATTCACCAGAGACAGTGGGGAGCAGAGCAGGCAGATCAAAGAAGTACACTGCTGAGGGGAGCAGTGGGCGGGTCAGGAGAGGTTTGCCACGCCATGTGGTCACCTCCCGGGCAGGGATCGAAGGAGCTGTGGCCAGTTTGCAGTGATGCATCCTAACCCATTGCGCCACCAGGGAGGACCCTAAACCTTTTTATATAAAAATTATTTTAAGGGCCCTCCCTGGCGGCGCAGCGGGTTAAGGCACAGCACTGAGAAGCTGAAGCCACTTTGCATGAGTTCAATCCCCACCTGCCCCGGAACTGACCCACATGGCGAGGCAGACCTCTCCTGACCCTCCCGCTGCTCCCCTCAGCAGTGTACTTTGTCGATCTGCCTGTTGTGCTCTCCTCTCTGTCTCTGGTGAATCCTCTCGCCACTCCTGCACTTCTGGCCTGTACCCCAGTTCTGTATGCATAAATAAATAAATCTTTTTTTAAAAATTATTTTAAAATAAATCAAGTAATTAGCTATGTTCACATAACAGAAAACTATCACTGTGGGGCCTCCCTGCTGGCACAAGGGGTTAAAGCACAGCACTATGAAGCTATCTGCAGCCACTGCAGCACTTTAGACCGCTGCCAGGGATTTGGACCCACATGGCACAGCAGACCTCTCCTGTCTCACCCACTGCTGCTCTCAGCAGTGTGTTTCAGTTGATCTGTCTTTTCTGTTCCTCACTCTCTCTGGTGAGTCCCCTCACTCCCTGTCCTCCCACCACTGGTCTGTACTCCAGTTCTTATATGCATAAATGAGTAAATCTTAAAAAAAAGAAAAAGAAAAAGAAAAAGAATTCAGTATATTATAGAAATAGCATTAGATAAAATTCACCTTCCATTCATAATTCTTAAACTAGGTTTGAAAGGAGTTCTTTGATGTTACAAAGTATCTATAAATCCTATACTAACATACAGTGAAATGTTGAAAGCTTTGGAACAGGTACCATGCTGCGTCTGGACTATTAATAGAAGTCATGGCTGATACAATAAGGCAAGAAAAACATAAGTTAGGAAAATTAGAAGACGTGATTGTTCAGAGAAGACTTAAAAGAGTCGAGACTATTCAGTAAGTGCTTGTAACAGAACTCCTGAATACAAAGTCAGTAAGCAAAAACAATTTGTATTTCTGTTTACTGGTAACAACAAAATGAGAATTTAGAAAGATGTCATTTGCAATATTTATAACAATAAATCTAACAAAGGATGTGTGATACCTTAAAGCCATAAACTGTCTTTTTTAAGTTTGTTTGTTTATGCATATAAGAACTGGGGTGTAGGTCAGGAGTGGGGGTGAGAGTGAAAGAGACAACGGAGGAGCAGAACAGGTAGATCTGTGAAATACTCTGCTGAGGGCAGCAGTGGACAAGTTAGGACAGGTCTCCTGTGCCACGCGGGTCAGCTCCCTGGCCGGGGATCAAACTCGTGTGGCAGTGGTTGGCAATAGCTTGGTGGAGCTGTATCTTTAACCCCTGCGCCACCAGGGATGCCCAAAGCCATAAACTTTAAAACATGACTGGAAATATTAAAGGAGCTATAAATAGGTGGAAAGAAAAATCATGCTTATGGCTCACAGGAAAATTCAAAATTAGAAAGAGAAATCGTTCCCAAGCTGATCTGTGGGTTCAACACAAAGTCAAATATTACCAGAGAACTTCATTTAAAATTTTATAAGGAAATGCTAAGAATAGATTCTAAAATTCATATGGAAATTTGCTGAAGTTTTGAAGAAGAATAAGTCGGTAGGTCTTACTCGCTAGGACATCAAGATTATGAACTAGAGAAATTAGAATGATCAGTGCAAGGACAGACACGCACTGAAACAGAATGGGGAATCCAGAAGTGAGTCCCCACATACAAAGGCCCTTGTTTCCACCAGACGCGCCTCTGCAGAATAGTAGGAAGGTTGTAGTATTTTTGACTAATGGTTTGGTGTCATCTATTTGAAAAGAAATTAACCCTGATTCCTATTGTATTCTAAGGCATTAACACAATAGTTAATCACATATGAAAAGCAAAACAATAAACTAATATTTGTAGAATGTCTTCATGATTGGAATAGAAAAAATCTTCCTAAAACAGGACACAAAAAACACTAACTGTACAAGAAACTCTTAATAAATTGGATTACCTTAAAAGTAAGAACACTTGTGTTTACCAAAAGACTGTTGTGTGAAGAGTGAAGCCACAGAGTGGGAGAGGATATTTGCAGCTCAGTCACAGAAAATTTACTTGAAGAATTCATAAAGACTACAGACGAGACTTAGACAAGAACTTCACAAAAGAGGGTTTGGCCAGTGAATATGTGAAAAGATATTTATCCACATTAATAGTCATGAAAATACAAATACAGCAGCGGGCGGGAACCAGATGGGTTCCGATTAAGATGAGTGGCACCCGGGGTCAGCCAGCATGTGATACTACAGGCGTGCCTGGACCCGACATCTGCATTGGCACAGCTGCTTTAGTAGCTAACACTGTTACCCAGAATTGAAGACATACATAGCCGGTCACTGAGACACTAACCCTCCGGGTATGCGCAGCTAAGGGAAAGGCAGAAGTAGTCATAGTAGCCTCTCTTTACATGACCGAAAATTGGGATCAGGCAAATGACCACTGACAGTAGAAAAGCATGAATTGTGGCTGAGTGATGCGGTGGCATTGCTTCCGCAATGACAGTGAACTACAGCTGCAGTGCAGGTATGGGCGAACCTCGCAGAACCCTGAGCAAGAGCAACCAGGCACGGAAATACACACTGGCTCTTCCAGTTACGTGACGTTCAAAGCAATAAAACTACTGCTTGTGGATGCATTCATACTTGGTGAAACTATAAAGAACAGCCAGAAACTGCTTTCAGTAAAATGTCAAGAGAATGGTTTCTTTTTGGGAAGAAAGACTACTAGCTGCTGCATAAAGGGGGAGCCTGGGGTGCTGGCAGGTTTCTTTTTATTAATTTGAATGGCAGTTATGTGGCCACCGGCTTTTTAACCTTTGATTCATATGTTTGCTTTGTGTACTTTTCTCTGAGATTATCATATTTCACAATAAAAAAGCTTTTAAAAAGTCATAAACTCGCAAAAAGGGGAGATTTTTATGGGAATGTTTGGAATCTGGAAAACCTGACTTAGCAGGTTCAAGAAAGGTAAAGCCTACCTTAGTGATGGGCAATTCTGAGTCCAGCACAGAATCCTCAAAGGGCAAAGGAATTGGTTGTAGCATTTGTTAGAATTGGAACTGTGTGTTAGCAGGAGCAGGGAGCGAGGCACAGAGCTAACGTAAGTAGGTGGAAGCTGTTGTAAAGGCAGCTGAAGCCCTAGCTTCCAGTGGGCGACTGCCCCTGCCCAGATCAGGAGGGAGGCTAATTTCTAAAAAGCAGATACCAAGGGGTTTCTGAACTGGCACCAGTACCTTGCCAAAAATTGGTGAATGAAGTGCCCATCTGATCTGCATTCTCAGTAAGGACTCCAGGTCTCCCTGCCCAGGCCCCCCCTTCCCCCTCGGAGTAAAGCTCCGCCGGCCAACTCTGGAAGTATTTCAGCCTCTCCCTGGTATTCTTGAGCCAACAAGGATTACCAGGACTCGGGGATAGTCTTTCAGAGAGAGACGATGACAGCAATAACAAGACAGAAAAGGCAATTTGAAGGAAGGCAAGATTGTGAAGAAAAATAAGGCCGAAAAGAGGAAAAACCACGAAATCCCCACAAAGCTAGGGGGGAAATACAGGCGCCATTAAAGTAGAAACCACATTTTCCTTAGGAGACTTGTGAGCTGTTAGTTCTGCCCGTTGTTTTTGTTCCTAGTTTCTAGCACCATTTGTCCCACAAATGTCTTTTTGTTTAATTGTGTGGGAATAGCATGTGTTGGATAACCATAGATGTGAATAAATGTAAGACAAAGCCCTTAAGGAGTGGAAAAGGCACTGACTAGAGCCCTGTGACTGAGGTTCTGTCTTGACCCCACGATCTCTTTGCTGAGCTGGTAAAGACCACAGCCTGCATCTCTTCTTGCATTTTGCTTTGATTTCCCCGCCTCACTTCCATGTTTCTCTTCTCATATTTCTATCTTCATCCTGTTGTTTTTTGGTGTCTCTTCTCCCTGAAGATCACTACATTTTGAGCTGTCAGAAAGGTACCCTACTAACATGAGCGTGGTGCGGCTGGCTGTCGCCCATACTCTGCTAGGTAGGCTTGTTAGTTTGTAGTTGAATAGTCGAATAGGCTCTCATCCTCCCTTTCTGTTTTAACATCTGTATTTTCTCTGGACCTGCCGTTTGCTCCTGTGGGATATTGAGAGTGCGAGGGGGCGGGGGGCTGAGGAAGGAGGCTGTGTTTCTTTTTCTGGCTTTTGAGTGTGGTCACCTGGTGCACGCCTGGACCTTGGCTTCTCAAGTAGAAGATATTCCCTGGTTGTTATATGACAATGGCTATATTTTGGCATTGCTTTATAAAATACCTTCCTTGTCATCATAACTTGTTCTGCACAGTGGTGTTTGGTGAAAATAACTCACTTGTCTGTGAGTGAGGACGCAGGAGAGCAGGCTGCACAGCTCCCGGAGAGCTGACTGTGCGTCGTATCCGTACGCAGAAGACAAGCTGCTCGATCATCCCTTGCCACTTGGGCAGGCCAAGCCCCACATCAAGATGGCCCATAGCTTCTCAAAGGAGATCTCTGTTGAGCTACTGTCTTGATTCATGTATGTTTCATTCTTCTCAGTGTTCGACATTTTGGAACCATGAGATGCTCAGTCTGTCTGTTTGGTTTTTTGTTTTTTGGTTTTTTTTTTGTGGCACCTCATTTTTTTCACATCATCCTTTTTTCTTCTGAGCTTGTTTTTTCTCTTGCTCCATAGAATTTTCTGGGATTTTTGTTTGTTTAAACCTAGATCTTGATTTCTTTTTTAAAAACCATTTCTATAACCTAGAAAAACCCTACTTTTTTTTTTTTTTAACTATTCTGTGAACATATTCCTGTAACTCACTTCTTCTTTGTATTCTCTAAGGAGGTACGACAGTCCGAAAGGAGATCATCAAGAATAAAATCAGAGCCATTGGGAAGATGGCACGGGTCTTTTCAGTTCTTCGGTAAGGATAAGCCGTCATTACATCGTGAGGTTGAGGCACTTTAAATCAGAAGTTGATTTTTAGAATTGGAATTTGGTATTAGACCTGTAGGTGTTCAGGTTGAGTGCAGATTGAATCAGACCTGTATGATAAAGTGAATGAACAATCTTGGCAAACATTCTGGGCCTGGCCGAGCTATTGTCAGAGTGGAGGTTTGGTGTGGCTGCTGGGGCCAGCCCAGCTGTCCTTCCAGTTAGTCATATGATCTTGTGCCTCTCGTTTGTTAAAGAGTGATAATAGCGAGACCTGCCTTGTGAGGTTTTTAGGAGGATTAGATGGGAGGCTGTGTGGCAGACATTAGAACAGCACGTGGCTGCTAAGTGCCTCTAATTGAAAAGCAGACTGCTTAAAATTGGAGTATTTACAGGTAACAGACCTACCTTTGGGTCAGGGGAAGGGGAGGGAGTAGGAGAAGCTGGCCTGCATCTCAGTGCATCTTTTCTTAACTTCTTGCAAGTGTCTGAGTTCCGGCGAGTAGTAGGCCCCTGTGGCGTTAATCCAGGGCTTTGATCTTCCTTTGCAGGGAAGAGAGTGAGAGTGTGCTGACTCTCAAGGGCCTGACTCCTACAGGTACACTCCCTCTGGGGGTCCTCTCAGGAGGAAAGCAGACTATTGAGACAGGTGAGTATGAGAAATGGGTGTGCTCTCGCTATCTAACAGACCTCTAAAATCTGAAATTAGAGCTTCTTCAGTAAAGGGTTTTGAAGCAACTGGATACTTATTTGGGGGACAGTGAGTCTTGCTTGTTACTTCTTTCCATATGCACATTAATTCTAGTTGAATTATAACTTAAGTGTCAAAGGTAAAACTCCCAGAGTAAAGTAGGGTGGAATAGTTACTGGAGTGGAGGAGTCCTTAAATAGCAATACAAAAAAATACTAATACTAAAAGAAAAACATCAATAAATTATCTTTTATTAAAATTAAGGTTTTCCATTCACAAAAATACATGAGTAAGAAAGGAAGAAAGCAAGCTAGAAACTGGAAAAAGATTTTTGCAACACATATGACTGGTAAAGGGTTTGTATTCAGAATAAAGAACAATCCAGTAAACTCAGAAAACCATTTTTTTTTAATAGTCAAAGATTCAAACAGGTACTTCACAAGAGAGATATAAAATGACCAGTAAGCATATGAAGAGCTGCTTGATAGAGTTACTCACCTGGGAAATGGATTTTAAAGCCACACTCCCTTGAGTGGGTAGAACCCGTAGGCGCTGAGCGCTGCTGAGTATGTGGGGACCGAGAATTGGACACTTTGCTGATGGACTTGCAAACTGTTTCAGCCACTTTGGAAAACTTTAGGTAGGGAAGATAAGCTTGTGTCTGTCCTAAACTCAGCAACTCCTCACCTGGCAGAAATCCAAGAAGATGTAGCGCTGTGTCTGACAAGGGCTGTTCACCTTCATGAACGTGCACAGGATGTTCACCTCAGTTTTACTCGTAACACGTTCCAACAGGACATGACCCAAACATCTGTGAATAGAAGATAAATAAAATTGTGTTGCTACACACTGGAATACCACTCTGCAGTTAATATATATATATTAGTTGCAACAACACGGTTGAATCTCGTAGACATCGTGGCAAATTAAATCTAGACACCATTTATATGATGTTCAGTGAACAGCAGACTAATCAGTGGTGATGAAGTTAAAATGACATTTGCTATGGTGGGAGAATATTGTTCCAGAAGGGACGCTGGACGTTTGGAGTAGTTGGGAGTGTTTTGTATAAAGTGAGTGGCTCTGTAGACTTCACAGTTGTGTATGTGAATGCCTTACTTTGTGTATGCATTATACCTTTATTACTTTTCTTTTGTTAGAGTTTTCAAACAGTGAGGAAGTTTACCTACAAGCCACATCCCCCTCCCGTGCCACAGTCATCCTTTAACCAGAGGGTCAGTTTTAAAGCTTATGCAGGCACTGACTTCCCAGGAGAGGGCTTTACAGAAGACAGCGATGAAGAGCTTGATGTTTGTCAGAATAAACATAGATCTAGTCGAGCAAAGGGGAAGAGCCTTCACTCCATTGGGTAGCTAA